GATTTGCAACCCATGTGTGACCGGGCGGGGTATTATTTCAGCGAACATGGGAAAGAAAATTCAGCAGATTTACTAGACTGCCACCGCTGTGTGAGTACGCCCTTACTCTCGATCGGGAAACTCCCGAAACCCGATCGAGAGCTGTCAGAAGCCACGCTACACGCCACTCTCGAAACATCGAGAGTCTCCCGCCTGCAAAAACCGAATTTGCAAGTGTCCTCGGGAGTTGCCCGCCGACAGGCTCTTTTTTCGAGAGTGCACCTCCTGTCCCGGCGGCCAGACTTTGTCCTGTAACGCAGTGGTGCAGCTCTTCTGTAGAGTAGGACGTTGGAGAATTCATCTAGTGTCACAGGTTCTAGAGTAAGTGCAGTGAAGGCCTGTATTTCTGAGAGTCTGGCCTCTCTGACAATGCTAGTGGAACTCTCCAAATATTTCCAGAGTCTAGAGTAGTGCAGCCAGGCCCATACTGCACCTAGGGCCTCGCCACACCACTCTCGAAATGTGAGAAAGACAAAAATGTGGCGGGTGCATCTGGCCATGTTATAGGGGGAAGCTCATTCTCATTCTCATTTTGCACATTTCGAGAGTGGTGTGGCGACGCCCCTAAACGCAGCGAATCTGGACGTAAACAAAGCCCTGTACACAGCAGCTGGACGGCAGGACTTCTTTTTCGTCGAACCACGGCCTCGCTGCACCACTCTCGAAATGTGCAAAACGAGAGTGAATCTTCCCCTAGAATCTGGAAAGATACACCGCCAATATTGTCGTCTTTTGCGCATGTAGAGAGTAGTGCAGCGAGGCCCTGAATCTCGATGATTGCTCGCCGCGCGCCCCCTCCATATGGTTCGACTTCAGAGTAGACAGATAGACCGTACTTATCGCAACGAATCTGGACGTAAACGTAAACAGAGACATCCATTAAAATTGGAACCATACAGAGAAGATTGGCGCGGCCCGTGCGCAAGTATGACACGCATAAATCGAGAAACGGTCCAAATTATTAAAGCATCAATAATCTATAAATAAATAAATAAACAGAGCCATGCACCAGCTGTACAGTAGGACTCCTTCGAACGAATCTGACGTGAACAGGGCCATGACGAATCTCGATCGGGACAGGGCCACGACGAACAATCACCGAACCGAGTGTCACGCTGCGTACGTAATGGCCGCAGACGAGGTGGATTGGATTTAACGCCGGAATCTGGACTCGTTTCTGGAAAGGTGTAGAAATCCCGTTTAACCTGCTTTTGTGCATTTCGGCCTAAAACCCATACTGCACTAAATGCAGCTATAATGATGACCAGTAGCGTTGTTCTTTCCCATTGTTATATACGTCACTGAAGCATCCTTCCATGAGCCATGCGGGGTACCCTTCCCCCAAGACCCCTCCCCCCTTCCCCCAACCCCCCCCCAAACTCCCCACAGAAAAAAAAACGGAACTTGAGGCCGTCCTGATGATCTCGGCTGAGCCCCATGCAATGCAGGCCAGTCAACCGAAGCCAAGCCACATACACACACTCAAAAAAAAAAAGAAAAAAAAAAAGAAAAAGAAAGAGTGTGGCTGGGAGGGGAAGCGAAGCTAAACGCTAATCGATCATATAAAAGTGGTCTTCCCATGCTGTTGGGAAAACAAAAAAAAAAAAAAAACTGCCCACCACTGCCTGGACGAGATGGCTGACTGCATGCTAAAGTGTTTGCAACGCTTTTTTTTCCTTCTTCTTTTTCCTTCTTTTTTTCTTCTTTTTGCCCCGGTGCATTCCATTTATTTATTTATTTTTCCTTCTTTTTTTCTTCTTTTTGCCCCAGTGCATTTCATTTTTTTTGTTGCCTCGTTTGCGAGGCCCTATGCTCCTCTCTATATAGTCTTAGGAGTAGTGGTCGGAAGGTAGTGAAAGGAGGAAAAAAATAGTTTCTTTTTTTTTATTTTTATTTCTTCTTTTTGCCCCAGTGCATTCCAACGACCGTCGTGGTACCTTATTTCAAGAAAGCAGGGTCTCTGCCTCGTGTTTCGCGAGGGTGCCTCCGAGCAGCAGGACGTGTTGTCACTAATCTGTGGAGGGGAGTCGCTCGGGGCGTGCATGCTAACGCTACAAGCATGCGCTAAGAGGATGCTCTAAATGTTAAACACTGGCGTGGTGGAGCGGAGACGTACAATTCACACTCTACGTTGCTCAAAGTACAGCACCCATACCTGCATGAGACTGGAATACACACAGCACACACACTGGATAATACGAACAGTGCATTGTTCAAAGGCACAGTGACAGGTATAGACATCACAGCACATTAACAACTATTGAAGCACAGCAACCATACCTGCACAAGACTGTAATGTACACAGCACACACAATGGACAATAGATATCACAGCACATTAACAACTACTGAAGCACAGCAACCATACCTGCACAAGACTCTAATGTACACAGCACACACAATGGACAATAGTACTAGCACATAGCTCAATGGCACATTGACAGATATAGATACCACAACACAAAGACAACTACCGAATAGAGAGCAGTAACGATTTTTGGTATAATGTACTTTACAGGGACGCTGGACCTGATTTCCAGCAGGTGCCGCTCCCCACCAATAGATGGAGCCCTCCCGACGGCGCTAGTGGTGTTTGCTTTTATCAGCACCCCTAGCGTCCGCCTGGGTTGTTTCTTAAAAAAAAAAAAAGAAAAAAAAAAAGAATGCTAAAAAATGCTAACCCAATGCCAAGGAAGACGCTGCACTCACAAACCGTTGTAGTGATGCAATGCGAATGCCAAGGAAGACTCTGCACTGACAACTGACCTCGTGACTGCAGCAGCATGTTCCTTGGCAGTCACGCTGATCTTACAATACGTAAAAAGAGAAAAAACAAGGAAGTCCCTTGAAAGATGGACACCGCACTAGTGCCGAGAGGAAAAGCAAACTGGGACCCCACACAGGCGGGGTCTGGGGGTCTTTCCCAAATACCACGCCGGATTTTTTTGGGCTTCCATGGAGACGGAGGTTCCTGTGGTCCGCCATATAGCCTATGGCCTGGCCTCCAACGTCGTACAGTTCTCTGCTCCACGGACGAACATTGGAAAGGGCGACTCATTTTTGAGGCAGCTTTCTCGGTAGGGGTAGAGGTCCTCGACCTTTCCATTTTGTGTAGCATCGTTGGACGGCCATATGGCCTGGCCTCCCGGCCATATGGCCTGGCCTCCAGCATCGTACAGTTCTCTGCTCCACGGACGGATATTGAAAAGGGCAACTCATGTTTGCGGCAGATTTCTCGGTAGGGGCAGGGGTCCTCTGCCTTTCCATTTTGTGTAGCGTCGTTGGACGGCCATATGGCCTGGCCTCCAGCATCGTACAGTTCTCTGCTCCACGGATGGACATTGAAAAGGGCCACTCATTTTTGCGGCAGCTTTCTCGGTAGGGATAGGGGTCCTCTACCATCCTATGTTGTATAGCGTCTCATCACACCGCCAAAAACGTACCCCTAACACGGCCCATGCGCCACGTACACATGAACAGAAACCGTACCCCTAACATGGCCCACGCGCCACGTACACATGAACGGAAAACGTACCCCTAACAAAGGGCAGCCCCCTGTGATTTCGGAAAGTGGTGGTGGGATCCGCATTTCTCAACAAAATTGGCTAACTTACGCACTGTAGGATCAGAAGTTTAGCAATTGCTTGGCTGTTCATTTAGCGTCCTGGTAGAGCGTGCTTGTTGCTTGTAGCATTAGCACGCTCGCAGTCACTCGTGAGTGTGCAGGGCATTCCTTGGGATGGGCATAGTACCATTTGCTTAGAATTCATTTATTGGAATTGGCATAGCACCATTTGCTTAGCATTCGTTTAGCGTCCTCTTAGCGCGTGGGTGTAGCATTAGCAAGCAGGCAGCGACTCTTGAGTGTGCGCTGCTGTCTTCCGTGGCATTCGGTTACGACCAACCATTTGTGGTTGATGGCAGCATTAGCACGCACGCAGTCCCTCGTGCGTGTGCAGCGTCTGCCTTGGCATGGCATGCGCGTAGTCCATTGTTCATTGAGCGTGCTCGTAGCGTGTAGGATTAGCACGGACGCTGTCACCTCACTTAGAGAATCACCTCTCGGAAAAGAGAGGGAGACAGTGACTGTGTGACGCACCTGATTCATTCATCAGAGATTCAGGGGTCGTTGGGGGCTTTTTTATTTTTTATTTTTTTTCCCTCTTGAGATCGCTAGACAGAACACCGCAGGGGGAGTAGTGATGGTGACAGGCTGTTGTCGTTCGGCTTTCACCGAGTCGAATTGCATCAGGAGGTTGTGTGTCTCTGTGTGTGTGCGTTATGGGGATACATTACGTTGTTCATTGTAGACGAGTTGTGGCATGCCTTCAGCGTCCGGTAGGTGGGTGTAGTTGAAGCTGCGATGCACTGACCTCGGGTTAACGTGGCCGATTAGTGAATGGCGAATGAGGGGTAGAAAAATACCCTTGTCATCCCGGCAAACGCCGTTATCATTGCCTCTAATACGAACATTTACTTCATTCATGGTTGTCTTCTTTGTCGTGTGTCGTTCTCTCTCCTCTCCTCTAGTGGCGTGTGTATATAAGCAGTCTTGGGACTTGTTGTCGCCATCCACCGAAAGCACAGGTGAGTAGTCTCACTGGCTGACGAGGTATTCGATCTCCCGACAGGCGAACAACGGAATACGAGACGGAATAGAGCCGCGTACACGCACACACACACACACACACACGAACACACACACACACACACACACAGAGAGAGAGAGAGAGAGAGAGAGAGAGAGAGAGAGAG